AAAAAAGTTCATGACTTTCATTCAATTTATTATATAATAAAAAAATCACATCTATAAATTATTATTTTTTCAGCATGGAATAAAAATCTTTTTCTTCTTTATTGACTTTCAAATGACATCAAATCCAGAGTTTGATTCGAATCTTGCATCCTTTTTCTATGCATTGCGTGATGCAATATCTAGGACTCTTACCATTGAAAACAACGTAGGGCACAATTCTTGCAATAGCCTTATTAATAATAGAGCCGGCAATGATTTAAAAATCCTCAACGTGACTCGTCTAGATGCTATCAAGCTTTGCAAGAAAAATCTCATGGTGCCAGCAGCTTCATGCCTACCTGTGGAGGTGGTTTTGCTGTCATACTGTACAGAAAAGATTTTAAAAAAAATATTAACTTTCTCTGCGTAAAACTTACAACAAGCTATTTAACCCGTTCTCTTGTAATTTGTTTTTCCTGAACATAATATCAGGATATTTTGATGTATATTTTTTTCATTAAAAAAATTAAAAATGTAAATCAAAAGGTCTAGATAAATATCTAATTAAATAAATTAATATTTTTTATAAACAAATAAAAAATTTTAAAAATTAAGAAAATTATATGATGAAATTAAATTATGATATTTAATCATATGAAATGAAATATTTAACAAGTTATATTTACTAAAATTATTTATTTAACACAATAAAAGATAATAAAAATAAAAATATTTGAATAAACACATGCTTTAAAGAGAATCATGTTAGGTCGAATATATCAAGAATATTATTTAAAAATAAGTATTTTTTATTCTGAAAAATAAATTTTAACTATATAAAACAAAAAAAATACATATGAATTAAGATAATATCTTCAAAAATCAAATACAGATAAAATAATTTAAAAACATTTATTAGAAAAGCATTCAAAACTCATGATTTAGGTTGTGAAATTAAAATAAAACTTATAAAAAAAATTAAAGATAATTATAAAATCAATATTTTTTTTAAAATAATAATAATGTAGAATGATAAGACTATAAAAGAAAACTAGTAAAAAATAGAGAGAGAGAAAAACAAATGATATTAACATTTTCAAATACATGGCCTATGCCATTGGATAGGAACCACTACAAGTTAAAAAATATGAAGCCAAATCCTTAGCAAATAAAATACTAAAAGATAAAATTAAAAAAAAAATAAATATACAAAATGATCTAAAAATATATAATTAAAGGAATAAGGATGAAAATCAAAACAAAAAATAAATTAAAGGACAAATTAAAAATTTCAATTTAAGGGTTTAATTGAAATAAAAAATATCTCTGACATAAGAAAAAATAAATAAAAAGAGGACTAAATTAGAAAACAATAAATGACATAAATTTTGATTGAATGATAAAATTGAAAACCAATAAAACTTTAATAAATTAATGAAAAGAAAAAAAATCAAAATCAAAAGAATAAAGATAAAAAAAATCACATCCCAGAAATTATAATTGAAGGATTAAATTGAAAATAAACAAAAATTTTATAAGAGAAAATGAATAAAAATAATAAATCAAAAAAATAAAAACTTAAATTAAAATAAAAAAAAATAAAAAGAACAATTAAATATTTTTCCTCGCATAAAAGAAAGAGAGGAACAAAAAAGAAACATTCATTAACAACAAATTGCCTATCATTCACTATTACACATCACAGTAAATGGAAAAAAACGCAATGACAATTCTAGACACACACAGAAAAAAATCAAGTTTGAACACATGATAGTGTTTGATGCATTCCTTCAAGGTTGCAAACTCTATCCACATCCTCGTGCATGATAAGCTTTTGTCAATAATTTTTAAAAATATAAAAATATAAAATATAAAAAACATCTCTTATTATACTGAAATTTACAAATAAACTCATGTAAAAAAAAATAAAAACACTCTTATATACATATTTTATTTTTTTTTCAATAATTTATTTTTTTATTTTAAAAATAAAAAAATATTTTTATTGATTTAATTTTTTTTAAAAAGAAAATTCTTAGTCAACATTACATTTTTTTTTATTATAAAGGCAAAAACTTGTTTTGTTCAGTTTTTTGTTTTTTTAAAAAAAACTAACATAGTCGCGAATAATTTTTCAATGACTAGTAGATTTATAAAAAACCAAAACTACCGTCGTCGCAAAGGCTTTCATTTTTCCACTAAAAGAACAAAATAGTAATTTTATAATAATCCATAATAAAATAAGTTGTTTAAGTATATATTTTATGTTAATTAATGTCTCGCGGAAAGAAGCCTCTGATAAAATATCGGGGTTTTATTGTAAATTGATATGATTGGAGCTTGCCAAACTCTGTCTATAAAACGTGTTTGAATTACCGAGGCAATGTGTGAAGTCATTTTTATTAAAACAATATTATTTTTTTACTGGAGTTGATTTTATTGGATTAACGAATTTCATGTCACCAATATTTTTCATGGTTCAACTTACCATTCAACCTAAGTGTATTTTTAAATTGTGAATTTTTTAGATCTTAAGAAGGTCGGTTTGACAACTATAAATTAGAGTCATGAGATTAATAATGGTTGGAAAAAAATAATTTTTTTAATATAATTTACTCTCATAACTAAAAAGTAAAAATAAAAAATTATAATAACAACTAGTGCAGTGGTATTAAGAAGGTATATTATCAAAATCAAGCTTTTTTGATAGTTTTCAAGTAATTGTTTTTGCTAAAATACATATTAATAATATATTTTTTATTTTTTAAAAATTATTTTTAACATTAGCATATTAAAATGATTTGAAAACACTAAAAATATATTAATTTAAAATAAATAAAAAACAAAAAACCATATTAATTGTTTTAATGGAAACTTCATTATTATTGCTGTTTTCAAAACTATCTAATTACTTAAAAAATAAAAATAAACTTATTTCTTGATGGGTTGTTAGAAAAGCCCATTTAACCAATGACAAACCCATTCTATTTAATCTGAAATCTCCTCGGCCCATAAAAACACCATTACATGGGCTAAGTGTTTTCACTTAGCTCGTGATGAACAGACCTTCTGGGTTTGTACTTTTACATTTCAAGCCCGGTCCAATCCACAAATGACGCGGTGCCCGTTGCCTAAACGGTCTGATTCAGGCAGGATTATATCATAGCCCCAGCAGATTCCACAGTGTCCATTTCTAACCTCCCTTGTTTGGAAATTTCTAAGATCACCTCAATGGTTCATAGTTACGAACATTACCCATGCTGGTGCGGCGGATTAACCCAGTGACCACTCAACCCAGGGCTTAGTGGTGGAATTAGCAAATAAATTATTTTTTAAAAACAAAGTTATTTTAGAGTTTTTATAAATAAAAATAATTAGGTTAACTCAGTCAATTCTCTTAACCCGCTATTAAAATCTTGAATTAAATCTGTCTTTAAATCATGTTTTATAGCTAAATAACATCTTTTATAATTGTTTTTGACCATGAAAAAGGAATTTTGAGGTTTTTTATAATAATTTAATATGCGTGTTTTGTAAGAATAAAAAAACTGGAACAACCAATATTTTTTTTTAAATATTTACAACAAAATATCACATGAATTTTTGGATGGGATGACAATAACGTAAATCATGTTAGATTTCCAACCTCTTTGCTCGCACGAGCAAAATTAAATATCACATGAATTGGTTAGTTCTAGGTCCTTGTAAAGTTCGTTACCATAATAATTCAGTAGTCTATAAAAACCACGTAATTAGTTTATATTATATGCGTAAATTAAAATAATATAACATGGAAGAAACAACATTTCCCTCTTCTTTTTTTTTTTACAATAAAATATCATTTATAAAAATTTTAAAAGAGACTACAATTTAATTTATCTTCTATTTGTTTGCTGAAAAGTAAATTTAATTTATCTTCTATTTGTTTGCTGGAAAGTATTTTTTTAAATAAATTTTAAAAAAATAAATTATTTTTTGATATTTGGTAATATAACCAAAAACAAATTGAAAAATACTTTTTAGTATTTGATTATATCATGTAAAATAAGTTGAAAAATAATTTATTAATTTTTTATCTTTTCAAGTTTATTAAAATAACAAGAAATAAATCTTACAAATTAAAATATTGAATGAGATTGAAATTGAAAAAAATAAAATTCCATAATTTATTTTAAATAAAATAAATAATAATAAAAATAATAGAGATCAAATCTAAAAAATAAAAAAAATAACAGATGAAAAAACTAAAACAATGATAATAATTATCATTTTATAAATTATTTTAGATAACATAAGTAATAATCAAAAAAATAAAAATCAAATTTGATAAATAAAAAATTTCAAATGAAAAATAATAAGGAAAAAGAAAATAATAATTATAAAAATAAAAACCCAAGTTAATATAAAAATTAAATTCTAAGAGATGAAATTGAAAAAATAATAATATTCAAAACAAAATATATATAATAATTAAAATTTTGAGAATCAAATTTGATATAATTAGCAAATAATATAATATTTCTAAATTTTTCACAACTTCTAAAAAGTGTTTTCCACAAAAAATAAAAAGAAAAATATTTTCCTGAAAATCAAATTAAATTATTAAAAAATATTTTTCATTGACCAACTTTTTTGATAACAAAAAAAACATAAAAAAATTTTAAAAATAACTTTTTAAAAATCACTTTCCAAAAAAATAAATACATCCTTATTTAAATTAGATTTTCACCTCAACTTATTTGTACTTACTTGCACAAATGGGTTAGTCCTAGTTTCCATAAAAATTTGTATTTTAAAATTATTTTTTATTAAATTATATAATAATAAAAATAAATATTTAAAATATAAAATATTTATTTAAAATTATAACAGACATACTGAAACTTTTTTTTGGGAAATTACAAAATTAATTTAAAAACAATGTTAAAATATAAACGCCAAGGTGGACAATCACCAAATCGTCAGGGACTGAAATATAATTTTCCCGACAATTCTCTGTCCCTGGCGTGATAAGACCCTCCAGCGAGAGAGCGAGACAGAAATCCAAAAAAATCCGCGTTTGAAACACACAAGCACGCACTTCACTTCAAGCCCTCTCTTTCTCGGAAAAAAATAAAAATAAATTCATCTCGTCCTTTTTACCTCATCTCTCTCGCTCCACTTCTTCCCGGATTTATTATTCTCTTCAGAGGTAAAAATATCTTTTAGTTTTTGTTGTTAATTTCCCTTCCTTTTCTATTGAAAAACCTTACGGTCTGTTTGGCTTCCTAGAATAGTTGAAGGAAAATTAGAATAAAGCAGTTTACATGGTTTGTGAATGTTAGTAATTGCCTTACTGTGGTTTCTATGTAGCCAAACAGAGCGTTTTCTTAGTCAATCTGGGATTAGAAGTTGCGTTTTAACTGTTACTGTACTCATTTAGGGTTACGGAGACTTAGATTAGATTTAATTTGCTCAGCTAATGCAAAACCTAATATTTTTATGGATGCTAAGCTTATTGAAATTTTATTTGTTGTTGGAAATCTTGTATTGTTTTATTAATTTTACTGGTGAGCAGTACAGAAAAAAAGGAAGAATTGTATCTCTTTAAATTCTGTGAAATGGAAATAATTAATATTATTTTTTCTTTTCAGTTGCAGTTGTAATAACTAATAAGGCGTGTTTTGTGAAGTGTTGGTTATTTTTCTTAGAGGATAGTTGAAATGGAGTTTGATGAGTATGACTACTTAGAGAAAACTGTTGAAAATCTGGAACCGCTAAAGGCAAAGGAAACTGCTAATGGCGGGGATGATAAGGTGAAATCTAGGGAAAAGGATCGTTCACGGAGTTCGAAGCATAGGGCTGATGAGAAGGATCTTGGGCATGATGATGAACGAAGTCGTTCGAAGCGATCGAGATCTGGAGATGAGTCCAGGGATCGTGAACGGAGTAAAGAAAGGAGTTCATCCCGTCATCGGTCACAGTCTAGAGATGGAGAGAGGGATCGGCACAAGAGTAGCAGGGAACATCGAGATAGGGACAGAGGTCGGGATAGAGATAGGGAGGAGAGGTATGGGAAAGAAAGGGATCGTGATCGTGATAGGAGGGAACGTGACCGTGATGGTGAAAAGGAGAGGGAGAGAGATAAGGAGAAGGAAATAGAGCGGTCACGCCGAAGCAGGAGTAGATCAGAAAGGCGTAGAAGTGATCAAGATGAAAAGGATAGAGAGAGGAGCAGGGACAGGGAGCTTAGAGAAAAGGACAGGGAGCTTAGGGAAAAGGAAAAGGAGAGGGAGAGGGAGAGGGAGAGGGAACCAAGGGAACGAGACAGAGAAAGCAGGTGCCTTTCATTTTGATATTCTTCTTCATTTTTTTTTATCTATTACTTATCCCATGTCTTTATATTAACTTCATGGTTGATGCAAATATGAGTCAGTGGAAACTTATCTTGTGGTTCTGTGAATCTGTTTAGTTGATAAATATTTTCCAGTGTAATTCTTCTGTGAGTGGCTGTGTGTGTATGTACTGGTATTTGTAATGACTTTCAATTGTTGATATTAAGCATAAGAAGGGTGTAGTCGTGGGTGCAAGCTGCCTGGTGTAGTTGATAAAGTCAATTGGCACTGTTCCAGGAGATTTGTGATGAAATATTACTCACTCCTGTGATTAAGATAGATGTAAAAAAAATCTGCAACTCAACTACTGAATGAACAAGTTTGATAAGTGGTTTATATAATTTTGAATTTGATGGAAAAATAATGTTACTCTCTTCTAAAAACTTGTGCAATTTGTATATTATAAATTCCTAATGGGGTGACCTTCCTAACATGATAATTCATGATTAGTATCCAGAGTTCTGCTCAATCAAAATCTTAATCCTGCCTGATTTACTAAATTTACTTTCTGGATGTTCTACTTGGTTCTTCTCCCTCTCTTTCTCTCTCACATTTTTCAAGGGTTTCTTTCTACATTGTCTTTGGATTTCTGTCTGGATCTGGTTGTGTGGTGAGATTTACTTTTTGAATGGTATCTTGGACCATGTTTGATGACAGTTACAGTAAGTTATCTTTCTGCAGGCATCTACTCTGCACTGTTAAGACATCTCTTTCATTGTATAGAATCTAGATCTATATTGTGACCAATGTATTTTGAGTCTGCTTATTCTTATTATTGGGGTTCAGTGATGCTTACTAATGGCCTCGGATGTTGACGGATCAATGGTTGTGCGGGCATTATCTATTGATGCATAACTTTTTTGTCCAGATGTCATCTTATAATGATATACTAGAAAGCTGGAGATGGGAGACGATTGACATTTGGTGTTTATAGTTGCTTGCAATTGTGGCTGCTGAACTTGAGGATGATGATTTTATGCCTTTAGAATTGTAGATGGATTCAATATTCACTTGGCAGTCTTATGAAGAAGTGACCTGTCAATCAGAATGCCATGAGAGATGCGCTGCAAATTTTTGCTTTCACATGTTCTCTCCTGCTTCGATAAATTCCTTTCTACGTGCTCCTTAGTCCAATGGTCTTGTTAAGCTATATCTTCTCTTTATTTATGTGGTGATTCCATGTCCAGCTGTGCTGGATTCAATCCTGTTTTGGGTGTCCAAATACAATTGCCATAGGCTTTTTTTTTTTATTTGTTTTCTTCCTCACAATATTCATATCTCTTTATGGGTTTTTATTCCATTGTTTTAACGAGCTCTCTTATTATTGGATCTCAAATTTCATTTAGTTACTTATACTATTAACTATCTTGAAAATTCTGAATATTGAACATTAGGTTCTGGGACTCGCAGATATGCTAGAGCATTCAGATGGTCTTTCTGGCATGGGCCAGGCACAGGAACTCAGGTCATGGGTCTTAAATGTTTCTTCATAGGCTGTCTGGAATCATTTAAAAGCTTGCATTGCAAGATTGAGGGTTTCAGTGTTGTAGGTTTTGACCTGGGTGCTGATGTCATGTTGTGATTTTTTTTATCCTCCAGATTTGAACTTAGTTGCTTAATTAAATTTATTCTGTTGCAGAAATGCTGGTGAGGGAGTTATGAGCTTTGCTTAAGAGAAGCACTTCATCTTCTGATACTTGTGGAAAACTCTGTGGGCTGCAAGCATTTGTTTTAATTTTTTTTTTTGCAGGATAGATTAAACTGGAAAAAAGTACCTAATTGCCTATCTTGAAATTCTAGGTTTTAGATGAACAACCGTGCTCCTGTAGTCTTTGTAAGAATATTAGATAACAGATTGAGAAATATGTTCGTCATCATGCTCAAAATTGTCTTGGATGTCACACTGATTCAACTCCTGTATGGTTTTGATAAAAAAAAATAAAAATCTCTCAAGACCTTACTTGGTTAAATTCTTTTGTAAGATTGACATACATAATAATAGTTATCCACAGCTTATGTAATATGGATGCATCATGATGATTCACTGCTTTTGTTTTAGTAGTCACAATCATCTGAGTGGTGGCATTTGTATAAATTGCTTTTGTTTATATTGTTAGATATAGAAGTTCCAAAAAACTGTATGATGATAATCTTAACTTCATGAGGTTTCAGTTTCCTTCTGCATGTATTTTTCTATAATCTACGGGACTGGTAGTAAAACTGTGGGGAATGATATTTAGCTTCTGAGTGCTTATTTCCTGCCTTCTGCTGATGGTTTCTTTTTTGGGATATACAAATTTAACTCTAAAGTTGTTGACAAGTCACATTAATGCATATAGGTCCATTGGTATTGCCATTGATACAACTTGATGATACTGTTTCCATTTAAGATTATGTTTTTATCGAAGGTGCAAATTTATTAACTCATCACATGAAGTTGGGTTTTTAGTTCACTTCTCTTAGTTGCAATTTGCAACATTGGTCCTCAGGTTGGTTCTTGTTAATTTTAAGATGAAGATGTCTTAATTTCAACATACATTCACGGGTCCTCTCGTGTTAACGATGTCCAGTTGCCTGCAGGACTGTGTTTCATGGGTTCGGCGTTTTAACTTGTATTGGAGACATTTTTTATAATGTTTTGGATTGTTTTCTACCTTTTCTTTAATGATGATAAAGCAAACATAAGAAAAAAACCTCCTTTCTTTTGAAGGATAAATTAGCATTATATTTGTATTTTCTTTATGAATTTTTTAGTTCCTGGCTGTTTTCCTCATTGTTTGATACTGGTTATATAAATGAGATCAATAATTTTAATTTCCATCGTCTTGCAGAAGATATAAAGAAAGAAAGGAAGAAGCAGTGGAGCCTGAGGTTGATCCTGAACGAGATCAGAGGACAGTATTTGCATATCAGGTTAAATATAGACATGTTTGATATAAATTATGTTGTGTTCTCAACGCTTTAGCTGTAATATGGTCCATTTCACATGATTTCGAACTTTGATTCTAGTGAAAAATTTTTACAGATATCTTTAAAGGCCGATGAAAGAGATGTCTATGAATTTTTCTCTAGGGCTGGCAAGGTTAGTTCTGTAGCAATTCTTTACACGACTAATGGGGTTAATCTCTTAATTGGAAGAGAGATATGAATCAAGTTCACATTGTAATATTTTACCTGTTAGATCACCTGCTTGTCAATTAACTTTTATGTGCTGTGTACATGAACAATATAACATATATTCGTGGCAGCAACCACAAATTCACTGTTACTTGGAGAGGATTGTTGTTTGGTCATTTTTTATACTTTGTTTCTAATACTCTTAGCACAACTTTCAGGTGCGAGATGTACGTCTCATCATGGATCGCAATTCAAGACGTTCAAAAGGAGTTGGGTAAGTTATATTTATAATGATCAGCATTCCGTGACTTCTTTGAAGTGATTTTCTCTTGCTTATCTTTATTTTGCTGGATAGTAGCCATATTTTTCTTTTGGCTTTTAATTACTCAGGTCCATCGATTTGAAAAAAAACTTGAAAAAAGGAGTTTTTGGTATATATTATTGTCAATTTAATAGAAATTTACAGTTTTGTAGTGATTTTGCTAGTTATTTGAGCTGTTAATGGAGCAAACAGAAGTCACAAAAAAAGTTTATGGTTTTGGAAGTTATTTGTGGACTACCTAGGGTTAATATGATAATGATAGTCTAGTCTCCTCTGTTACATTTGTTTTTCTTAATTACAATCTGACTCTTGTTTTTAGGTATATATAGTTCTAGGAGGTAATTTGCAATATTGCTTCTTTTCTTTGTAGGTATATCGAGTTCTATGATGCGATGTCAGTGCCTATGGCGATAGCACTCTCTGGACAGCTCCTCCTTGGTCAACCAGTGATGGTGAAACCTTCTGAAGCTGAAAAGAATCTTGTTCAGTCAACTACTGCTGTGACATCAGGTGGACTTACAGGCCCCTACTCAGGAGGGGCTAGAAGGTTGTATGTTGGCAACCTGCACTTCAACATAACAGAAGATCAACTTCGTCAGGTAAGCACTTTTTCTGTATTTCTTTTGACACTGATCTATATCCAGAATGTGTTTATTCATTTCAAATTCTCTGGTTTTCGTATAAATTGGCTTGATAGATAACATTACTAGGGGAATTGGATATTAACATAGAGAAACTTTTTGCCTGTACAGTTTTCATGATTTTTTGTTTATGATAACTTATTATCGTTACAATGTCTCTTTATTCCCTCTTGCTAGGATTGTGCTTTTGTTTTGTTTTTCCAAGGTGACATTTTCTGACTGTACAGGTATTTGAACCATTTGGCGCTGTGGAGTTGGTGCAATTGCCTCATGATGAAAGCGGGCATTGCAAAGGTTTTGGTTTTGTCCAGGTGAGTTTGTCAGCAATAAAGTTGCCTTTGAAAAAAAAATCCAGTGAAAAGTTGGAAGTTGAGTTTCAAATGCATGTTTTGTCTTAAGACAGAAACAGTGACCAAGACCTTTAGAACTGATGTAAAGATTGTTGAAGAAGCTACTTTTGTCCTTTATGTTTAAACAGTTTCTTGTACAATCCCCAAATACTCTTCATGGCTGAACCTAGCCTTTTCATCCAATTGGCCTTGAATAGGCATATTTCAAATCCTCTGGAAATTGGAAACTAATTGCTTCCACTTCCACTTCCACTGCAGTTTGCACGTCTTGAAGATGCCAGAAATGCATTAAACTTGAATGGACAAGTTGAGATTGCGGGCAGGCCAATCAAGGTAATCTCATCCTTCCTCTTAATTGCATCTTCCCTTCCTGTGCTCTTTGTGTTGATGGCGGATCTCATACATTCATTCAAATACATTAGAAATTCTTATATTCTTGATTGCTGTTTAGGTTTCAGCTGTTACTGATCAAACTGGAACACAAGATGGTGGGACAAATGTTGGTGATTTTGATGATGATGAAGGTGGTGGCTTGGTTAGTAATTCTACTTGTATCTTGGTAACTGGTTTAGATTTTGGGTCTTTTTTTTTGGCTGATTGAAAGAGGGCTTTATCAGATGAAGATTGCACTTTCAATATTGCCCTGCTCTTCTGAATAGAGCAGTCCTTTGTTTCTTGATGCAGCAAATAGAAGATGGAAAAGGATTAGGTTATAACAAATGGAAAGTGAAACCAAAAATGTTGTGACTGCTTACAGTCAATCTTATGTTGCTAACTGTCATATTTCTAGTGTGTATCTGGTAACTATTTTGAATCATACCTGATCTTTTTTTTTCAAATTTCAGGCCTTGAATGCTCGTTCTCGGGCACTTTTGATGCAGAAATTAGATCGTACTGGCACTGCCTCAAGGTTTGCCTCTCCCAAACTTTTCTTTTGGATTGGATTTGCCTGATTTGATTGAGTTGACATCTACCTCCTTTCTTTTCAGTATTGCTGGTTCACTAGGCACCCCTACTCTACCAACAGCACCGATCCTTGGGGCCACACCCGTAGTGTCTCCTGCTGTTGCTCCTCTTTTATCAGGTGCTGTTCCTGCTATACCTGGACTTCCAGTTCCAGGCCTTCAACTTCCGGCCACTGCAATTCCAACCATGGATACAATTGGAGTCCCAAGTGATTGTTTATTTTTGAAAAACATGTTTGATCCAAAAGCAGAGGTTAGTGGACTCACATTTTTTGGAGACTTTATGATTTTTGGTTGTGGTTTAGTTTTGCTTAGACTCGACCATATCTTGGCAGACTGAACCAGATTTTGATTTGGATATTAAAGAAGATGTCCAAGAGGAATGCTCAAGGTTCGGAAATGTGAAGCATATTTATGTCGACAAGTAAGTACTGTTTTGATGTGTAGTGCCATTCCTTCTCTTTGATCGGTCGGCTCTGAAATTTGTCAAATAAATGTTTTTAAAGTCTATCCACTCTTATGTTATATTAATACATCTTCCTCTTGATGAGTTTGTTGCCACTTATTATATTTCTTGCTTATTGTGCTTTGCATATTCAAGCTGATGAAACCCTAGCTATTTTGTCTCATTCGTGTTTCTTATGCATGGTTCCTTTTTCCCTTGGAAAAACAGGAACAGTGCCGGTTTTGTTTACATGCGATTTGAGAATATGCAAGCTGCAATAAATGCACAGCGCGCTCTCCATGGAAGATGGTTTGCTGGGAAGTTGATCACTGCAACCTTCATGGTAATCGAACCTTTTCTTGCTGTGTTTGTGATTTCACTCGTCGATACAACTCATGTTGCAAACGAAATTGTGCACACTTGCAGGTGCCCCAGACCTACGAGGCTAAGTTTCCTGACAGCAGATAGGAGTAAATGATTTTTGGTGTGCAAATTCACCACCTCGTCTGTTAATTTTGACTGTGTCGTGTTGCGCTGTTGTTTAGGTTAGGTGAGATTGATGATGCAAGAGACATGTACATGATATTACTGTCAAGTTTCGTAAGAAATTCAGACCAATTTGTGTTTTGTAGGTTTTGTCTGCATCTCTTCTTTTTGCCCTGCCCTGCCCAGCCCAAAAGCAAACTTATAATCTATAGGAACCAACCCAACTAAAATCAGCCCACGACGAGGTTGAAGCCCTGTAGGAGTCGGAGGATATGAGAAAACTGTCATCCCATCGTCCTTACTAGCATCTGCCTGATTTATGTAATCAGGAGTCCAATGTTTACTCGTGTAGTGACCCAAATGGTCGCCAATTAAACCGCAGCAATAGCCTTGTCCGGACTCCCGCCGCTGGCACCGTCAGGTTTTAGCTTCACGCAGTATGGTGGACGGCAGGCCAGCATGTTGGCCTGGATTTCCTCTTATGACACCGTAGGTGCTTAGCTTCGCCCAATTGAGGGGCGGGAGTGGCGAAACAGCACGGTGGTCTGGATTCCACGATTCATCCAGTTTGAAGTGGGGGTATATCAGCGCGTTGGCGCTCGTTGGTGGGGGTTACAAGAGAAGCTTCAAGCCTCTGAAATTTCCTATAAGGCTGTTCTTTATAGCTTTTGTAACACCCCGTGATTTTAATTGAAATTTTAGCCAATGTTTTACGTAGGGTTATTCTTTTTATTAATATATATAACTTCACTTATATCAGCAAGTATTAATGTCTCGTATAATAATTTTTCCAACTTAAATCTAACCCCATTATTATTTTCTTTCCTTACCATAATTTGTTATTTAATTTATCTTAACACTTGTTCATCAACAATTTAAATTCGAAAAATATCACCTTTTTATTGGATTAGAAAAGGTAAATATAATTTTGAAATATAAACTAATTTGAAAATAAATTAAATTAAATTCGACCTGCCTCCTTCTCAGACCGAACAATAGATGTCATAATAATGATCTTCGTCGTCAAAGCCGAAGTTATCTTGGATGGTTGTTGCCTTTTATGTTCCCCATCACTTCATTTATAGCCTTACATTTCTACTCTTCTAGCCAATCTTTCGAGCTTGCACAAACTTCATATCCATTCTCGTAACAAAACCAAGTTCTTTGGTACTTACTAGAGGAATTAATTCCAATATTATGGAATCAGTTGAAGAAGTGGTGATTGTAGGAGCTGGAATAGCTGGACTGCAAAATCTATAGGGCTTCACAGGTACGTACTAGATTATATTATATGCTTGTAACAAATATTACCATGTTAAACTTGACATGCGAGTATTAAATTGTAGGCTTGGAATTCGAAGCTTAGCGTTGGAATCATCAGCCAGTTTGAGGGTCACATGATTTGCTTTCACAACATGGACTAATGCTTGGAGGGCATTAGACGCTGTTGGTATAGGTCACTCTCTCCGACAACAACATGGATTCCTCGATGGGTATATAACTAGCCGTTTAACTTCTTGTCATCATTCCATTTCACTAGTTACTTTGTTGGCTTCACTCCCAAAATTGTCTTTCTACTACTGGATCATGTCAAATCTGAGATAGAAAGGCCCTTAATATAGCATTTACATGTAGAAACTTGTTAATTTGACCCTGACTTTGGTTCTATGAAGCTAATATGAAGGGATCATTTGACTGCAGATTAGTTGCTAGCTTGTGGGCAAACCTGGTAAACAGTTAATCATTTGACTGCAGATTAGTTGCTAGCTCTACTGTTGTGGGCAAACCTGGCAAACAGTCGTCTTTTAACTTTTAAGGTCAAAGGGACTAAGTAAGTAATCGGACACTAGCCATGAGGATTCAGTGTAAACATATATATTCACTAATTTTGTATGCCATGTATTTGACGGTGAATTTTAGAAACCGGCCCTTTAATTTGGTGTACAGTGGAGACCACGAGGTTCGTTGTGTGAGAAGAAAATTGTTGCTGGAAGCCCTTGAAATGGAACTCCCAGATGGTACCACAAGGTAAGGTACTCCTCCAAGGTGGTTTCTATTGAGGAATCAGGCTACTTAAAGCTGGTGCATCTTGCTGATGATACCATCATCAAAACCAAGGTATAGAAATCACCGCACTTTTTTGGTGGCTATTATTTCAGTACTAATACCGTGGTGTATGAAAGAACTACTGAGTCCAGTGTTTCCATGTTTATATATATTTATATATGGGAAATATTTCTAAGCCAGCGAATTTCAATTTCTATGAAAGGTATTGATTGGTTGTGATGGGGTGAGCTCAGTGGTGGCAACATTTATAGGCTTCAAGAAGCCAGCTTTTGCCGGCCGATCAGCTATACGGGGTTATGCAGATTTTAAGGTTAATCATGGCTTTGGCTCCAAGTTCCTGCTGTTCTTTGGCAAAGGGGTTCGATCAGGTTTCCTCCCTTGTGATGATACGACTATATATATACTGGTTTTTCACTTACGTTCCCACTGGCCAGGGTAATGAACCTTTCTCAACTTACAATTGGATTTTCTGATCAGATGTAGTTGTCAAGCTTCAAGAATATTTGTTGATGAACATGTAATTGTATATATAATAATATCTTTCTTGTAGACAAAGAGCTAGAGGATAACCCCACGGAGATGAAGCAATTTTGCTGAGCAAACTTGGAAAGGTACCTGATCACGCTAGGACATCTGTGGAAATCACTGAGCTAGATAGCATCACATCATCTCCTTTAAGGTTTAGGCATCCATGGGACGTTCTATGGGGAAATATAAGTAAAGGCAACGTTAGTGTAGCGGGTGATGCTCTCCATCCCATGACACCAGATATTGGCCAGGGTGGGTGCTGCTTTAGAAGATGGTGTTGTTCTAGCTAGGTGCCTCGCCGAGGCTTTGAAGGAGGAGTTAAATGTGGAAGGTAAAGAGAAAGAGAGAGAAGAATACAAGAGGGTTGAAATGGGGTTGAAAAAAAACGCAGCGGAGAGGAGATGGAGAGGTTTTGAGCTCATAAGCACTGCTTATATTGTTGGTGCTATACAACAAGGTGATGGAAAAATAATGAACATCTTGAGAGATGCAATTTTGGCTAAATTTCTTGCTGGACTGCTACTAAAGAAAGCTGATTTTGATTGTGGAAAGCTCAATATTTCTTGATCCCACTCTTGTCCTTGTAATCCGTAAAATCTCTTATTATGAATTAAGATCCTGCCGTGTTTTTCTTTTTGTAATTTTTCTTGATGCAATCGGTATGCTTCGAAATAAAGGTAAGCCTTTTTATTTATATAGGATTCAATAAATGTATTATGTTCTTCATCCATTACGTTTGTTAATGCAATCCGTATAGTTCAATATACATGAACAACAGCTGCTGCTGCTGCTGCTGATATAAGAGGAGCCAGTCCTTACTATCATGGCATATTTCTCTTCCAAGAGATAAATAATATAAGAGGAGCTAGTCCTTTTTCTTTGTATTGTATGGCATGTTAACATATCACATCAAGATCAAGATGATATGAACAGTATTTGAAATATGCTCGTGATATGTAGTAAGAAATTTATTAAATGTTTGAGGAATTTATAAGCATGCCAAGTTTTGGCGCATCAAAGAAAGCAGAAAGGACTAGGTAGCCACTGCACAACCAACTGCCAAGTGTTCTGCACCTACCGAGAGCCCTGCAATGTTTGAGGAAGCTGCAGATGATTCAGACAATGATTTTGATAAGTTATTGTTAGAAATTTATTTAATTAACATGACATTGGTAAATAAGAAATTAATTTAAAGAGTCCTCGTGTTTTTTACTTAAAGAATCATTGCTTTTTCTATATTTAATTCTTGATTTACATGAGTATAGTTTTCAACTTGTATAAATTTTAGGTTTTTATTGGATATCTTTTATTTAACATTTAACATGCTTTTACTATTATAAACAAAATATGTTTACTTACTAGTCTACTATATTTACAAACTATAGGATTACAGATATTTGATTTTAGTGATAACGCAAAGGGCCCTTGTGCGAGTCCTTTTTCATAGGTAGTTAATTCCTTTTCACAACTAGCTGCATGCAGTGCAGAGTTTAATGTTCCAAACTTCTTCCATCCAAGACAAGCACATGATGATCGGAATGCAAGACTTCCTCCCTCCCGTCCAGAGCCTTCCCCTCGGATGGAAAATAGGTGTAAAAGAAGCGAACCAGGGAAACCTTTCCCACAAACATCAATGGATAATGACAGCCCAGTTAACGAGACCCGTTCAGGTTTGAAGCCCAGTTCTCGAACCAAAGCAAGCGAACACAACAACCGCAGATGAATGCCACTCCCTCATTGGGAGAAAGGAAACTGGTTCGGCCTGATCCTCCTGCTTTCAGAAACTCGAAGCCTCCTCGTTAAACACCCAAGCAAGAAGCTTCTTCTCCTGAGACCGCGAAATCAACCAGCATCTAGCTATGAAATGTTTAGCTCTAAAAAGGCAGGTGTTCCTAGGAAACTAGGATTTGCATCAGACTTAAATAAGAACAGTCAAGGAAACCCATATGATTCTGCCAGAAATTCCAACACTGGAGGGCGTGGACCAAATCCTAGCCTCTAAAGTTCAAGATCAAATGGTGCCGTTGATCAGGGTGGACAAAAGGGATTCGGGATATTCATTCGAGGCAGCCCGAATGCCAACCCAAATCGACTATCTAAGCCAAACTAAGCTGCAGAAACAGCATGTAAGTGATAATTATTGCAGCAAATAGCTTCATGCTACCAACAATTCTTGTGAAGATATCAACCCATTTGTCTTGAGATCAATAAGTCAGGTTTCTCTCTCTAACATTTGTGCTACTCGACACCCTTTGATCAGATGGCTGCCAAATTTCGAATGTACTTGGAACTGTTACTGAAACCTCAGTGGAGAGAATAGCACAGGGCATCCTTGGTTTCATTTCACTGTGAACAGTAGAATGCTACGAGCGTTCAAAATCAACCGAAATTGAAAGTGAGACAGTGATTGTTAAAAAATATTAAAATAGTATTTTTTATTTTTTAAAATTTATTTTTAATATAAGCTTCTTAAAACGATTTAAAAATATTTAAAAAATTAATTTTAAAAAATAATTAAATTTTAATAAAAAAACATATTAAAACTCACTCTTGTCTCTTTCATGCAGGGAAAATGTTGCCAATACCATTATTCTCTCATAAATTATTATGAATTGAAGTAATGATTTTTTTAAAAATTTAACTTTAATCCTTGGATTTCTTCCTTGCATAATTAAACTTTTTTTTAACCCAAATCAGCACTCAATTACATTTTTTTTAAAGAGGATTAGAACTAAAGTGAAATATGCATGTAAATATAGGTGGTAAGTAGTGGCTTTTAAATTTATTTGAAAAGTATATTTTAGCTCCCTTGTTTTTTTTAGCTATTAGGTGATCAATTCTTTTAGTGTTAGAAATATTAATTTTGATACCAAATTTTATTTTTATAATTTCTAGGTGGGGAAAAAGAGAGGGCTAACCGGATTCTAGCATAGAAAGAAAAAGTTGTTGCGACGATTGTGAGTACTAAAACTATTGATTTTCATGTTAAATTATTTCATATAATAAGTACAGTTCGAATTACATGGGTTTTTTTTTTTTAATCTTGAAAGTGCTTAAAAACAGATTTGAACATAAGGAGATTTTTTATTTAGAGTTGTTTTGGGTTTTAAGATAGTTTTTTGCATTTTTAGATGTCATAGATCGATTTAACAAGGTTTCTAGGATGTTTTCTAGGTGTTTTAAGTAAAAAACATATTGAAAATAAGTTTTTAGAAGAAAATAGCCAGCGACCTTGTTTTTTCATCTACCATAATGATTGAAATCTAGGGATTCCAAACGATGCGTCATTTATTTTTTAAGTTGAATTGGAATGGATGACATGTCATTCTCCCTATTAACTTAGAGAAAAAAAAAGGGCTCACATGCAAGCCTTTCATTCATGGGTCAAGTGTTTGACCTCATTTTTTTATTTAAACCTTTTTTTATGTGTCTTTTTTAAAACAATTTTTAAGTTTATATTATACATATTTGAGATTTTTTTTTGCTTATTTAACTTTTTCTCAAATAATAATTATTTTTTAATTATATTGGATATGTTTAATTTTTTAATCGTCTTGGTGTAACTATGACTTTGCTCCGGTATTTGATAGGATTCGAACCCAAAAGAGTGAAAGGACTTTAAAACAAATGTTAGTCTTCACAAAACTTATACAATCCAAGTTAAAAGATGATAAGCATGTGCTCGATCATTAACCAAATTTGGTAAAGGGTTCAAAGAATCTTTATAACAAAATACATTTATACATAAAAAGATAATGCAAATAAATGGTAAGTGGTGAGGTGACATTAAAAGAGAAAGAACAACCATTAATGATCACAAAACCTTTTAATTAAAAGAAAGAAAAGGAAATGATATATCTCACTTCAAATCACATCACAATTAAAAAGGATGATAATATTGAGCTTCTCATTAAAAAAGATGTTAAGGAGGCTCTACTCTCCTTTAAATAAGAAAATAAGCCTGAATGGATGAATTTAAAGAGGTTAACTTAAGCACCGTTGAACACTCACGCCCAACCTTCATCGATGTAAACTTATCACCTGAAGAAAAAGAGGATTACATGAAACTTTTGATAGAATATTTAGATATCTTTGTTCGTTCTATAATGAAATGTCAGGTTTAGACTCGAGAGTTGTTGTTTATCAGTAGCAGTATAAAATAGAGCTAAACGTATAAAATAAGCTTAGCGTCGCTTTCATCTTGAATTCATCTTATAGATTGAAGTTGAAGTCAACAAATTTATATAAGTATGTTTCATTCATGAGTTAAATATCTAACATGGATTTCAAATATCATACTAGTAGAAAAGAAAAATGGCCAAATTTGTGTTTGCATGGATTTTCAAGACCTTAACAATGCTTATCCCATATATGACTTTCCATTTCCAATCACTGAGATCATGGTTGACACTACGACATGCCACAAGAGATTAACCTTTATGGATGGTTTGTCTTGTTATAATCATATTTGAATGGCACTCACAAATGAGGAGAAGACAACCTTTTAGACTTTGAAAAGGATGTATAGCTATAAAGTCATGTTTTTTGGCTTAAAAAATACAGGTGCCACTTATCAAAGGGCGATGCATAAGATTTTTGATGATATGCTTCACTAATATGTTGAATGCTACGTTGATGACTTTAATGCTTGTTCAAAAAATGACTTTCCACTTTTAATCATCGAGATTATGGTTGATGCTACCATAGGACATAATAGATTAACCTTTATGGATGGTTCATCTAGCTATAATTAGATTAGAATGACACCCATAAATGAAGAGAAAATAATCTTTTGGACTTTGAAAAGGATACATTGTTATAAAATCATGTATTTTGGCTTGAGAAATGCAGGTACCACTTATCAAAGAATATGAAGGGGTAATACATAAGATTTTTTATGATATACTTCACCAACATGTTGAATATTATATTAATGACCTTGTTGTAAAGTCAAATAAAAGTTTGCCTATATATATAGGTTCATTTCTAACCTGGTTGGTCGATGTCAACCATTCACTTATTTGATGAAGAATACATCATTTTATTGGGATGGATCTTGTACTAATACATCTAATAAGATTAAAAAGTACTTACTTAATCCACCTGCTTTACAAGAATCAATACTAAGATGCCCGTTTATCCTATATATTATAGCTTAAGCACATTCCTTAAGAGTACTATTAGCGTAATAAAATAATAAAGGCAAAGTAAGTGTTCTTTACTACCTTAACAGGATGCTAAATATGGCCAAAATGAATTATTCTCTAATCAAGAAAAAATATCTAATAGCATTGATGTATGCAATGTATCAATTAAAACATTATCTCTAAGTGCATTCAGTGCGACTAATCTCTCAAGCTAACCCTCTCAAGTACATCATCTCAAGGCTAGTATTATCAGGAAGATTGGCAAAATGAGCTTTATTGTTTCAAGAATTTGAAATTGTCCATGTATCATAAAAGGTTATCAAGGGGTAAGTACTAACGAATTTTCTTGCTTGCTGATCATCCTTTTCTCGATAAATAGAAGTTCTCTGAAGACTTGTTTGATGCTAATATCTTGTTCATTGAAATATTAGAACTGTGAAAAATGTTATGTGATGATGCTTCATGAAAAAATTGAGCTAAAGTTGGGATAATAT